TATTCTAATTGACGTAGACGATAGCTAAAGACGTCTACGTAAAGTCTCATAAAATCACTGAAGATAGCAAAGCCATCAATTCAGCTCAAATAAGCGATTCAACTACCCATACGGCAGTCAATTGAAAACTTGATGCCCACTTACGACCAACGTTAAGAGAATGAATTTAGTGGCAAAATAAAAAGAAATTCCAGTGAGAAATGCAACAATGTAAACCTTGCAAGCATCAACATTTTAAAAAATTTTGACAGCAAAAGGCAAAAAAAGGTACTCTAAGCATAAAGATGACAACAAGCAAAAGCTTATGCATTTCAATACATGTAAGTAGTATAGAGCACCGACCAGGATCCAGCAGGTTATGGATTTGTGTGATAACGATTTGATAATTGATAATAATGCAAAGTAGGCTTCATATGCTGAGTATTAACATGAGTCAAATAAAAATTCTTTGCATGAGCCCCTTTTCGAATTACGAAGAAGCTTGAATGTAGCTCTAAAAGTTATACCACAAAAGAAAAGACTTTGATACAAAATAACATTTAGCAAGGCAGCCGTAGGAAAAGCCTTTTGAAAATATTTGGTAGAGATAAACATATATCTACAAATACAGTAAAATGAGAGAAAAAAAAAAATTAAGAAATAATATGTGTGGGAGCATAAAAATCCTGCTTTATAGAAGTGATAAAATTGGCAAGTCAAATTGTCAACTAGATCAATTCTATTGATAACAGACGGAAAGCTGGAGCTAGACCAAAGTGTAAGCAGAGGTAATCAGCGTATGCGAGAACTAAGATAATAGTGTTTGCAAGATGCTCATAATTTGCAGGTGCGTTAAAATGTAATTGAAATGAGTGCACGAGATAAAATACAGGATAAGTGAATGTTTTAGAGTATGTATGTGGCATATAAAAAGAAGAATGTACGAATGAAAAAGGGAAATGTGTCTGAATCACGTAAGTGGTTTCAAAGCACTTATTTGTTTCTCGCCGTTAAGCGTTTATATGACAAGAGTTTGAATAATTCTCAGTGAAAACGCCATTTTAACGCATGAAACAGTGGAGAAAGGTTTAGTCTAGAAGTACGGAATGTCTCCAAGGCAATAAGACGACTGGTTGGTGATAACCATAGCATCGATGCACAAGTATGCTAAATGACTCACACGTACAGCAAACATGCGATGCTAATCACACAATACATTCGCACACGTTCAAACATTCCATGAAAGTCTTCTTCCGCTGATTTATTGCTAATTCAGAACACCACACTGTCCTTGATCAAACTTGTGCTTTTCGCAAATACTACGATTGTTATAGCACCCCCTATGAATAGAGTTAGTTGAAGAAATGCCGCAACAGAAGCCATAAAACATCTGATTCATGGCGTTTCATGCAAAACAGCCTTCAATCAGCAATCATGCAGGACTGCATGCACAAAATGCAACCATTTTCTACTTTACAATCAATATGCAAAACGCACCTCGTTGCGCTTATCGTCGCATGGGAAAGGGTGCTGTAGTCGGAATGATGAAGCTGATCAGCGTCTCGTGGCTGAAAACTTGAATTTTTTTATGACCCATTGAAGAAAAGCAGCAATCAAAAAACTGGAGTTGTGATTTAGTGGGAACTGGAACCAGTAAATCGCATAAAATCATTTCAGAAACAGACTCTTTTCGACGGGGCCGACAAACGCTTAGGTCCACCTATGCAAGTAAAGATTATGCAGGATGTCCCAAAAAAGATGCCCGCTATCGACCATGACTGTATTTAGATATTTCTAAAACATGATGATTCAATTAGAAAATCCACCAAACTTAGATTTTCACCTGGAAGCGAATCAGTTACCCCTGACCATAAGGATTGCGGTATAAAGTTGTAGTTAACTTCAGCGCTGGCAGTAGTTTTGATATTTGCGTAAAGGTAGTTGGGGAAACATGATATCCATTTGGTAGCGAAAAATTTACAAACTTATTAGAAATCTTATTTTGAATTTAAAAGCGCTTAGCATGTACTGAAGCCATCAACAACTTTACATCGTTATTTTGCTCTACCTCCTGAAACACTTTTATAGCTAGAATTAAGGCTCAAAC